ATCTGATTATTATGAAACAGATAGAAGTCGGTAGAAGAAACCAAGTTTCTGAATCTGGCCAAGTTGAACTGAATTAGGACTATTTTCGTATATACCATCGATATAAGTATTCATTCGGGTGGGGAAATTTACGGAGTTCAGTGAACCCAGGGTAGATAAGAACGAAATATCAAAATCGATTAAAGTCACCAGTGTTAATGTACAAAGACTGGTCAATACAAATGGCAAATTGTGTTGCATTTAGCAAACTGTTCCATCAGGGACAACATATGTGTATATATTTTTACAACAAGTAATATATGAATGACTAGAGAAAATTTCCCTGGAACTTTTGCTGGTTGAGAAATTTGGAATCAACTGAGGGTTGTTACACCAAATTCAGTTGACGAACATGACTACTCAGCCACCCCTGTTGAGAAGCTTCACAATCCGGTCTCCCCAAAAATGTCGGAATCGTCTACTCCAACGACATAGTCCTCGATTTCTTAACCGTCTGTAGCGATCGTGCTGTCATTACTTATCAGACCAGAATGTTTGAAATAGAATGTATGCACAGTTGAACTGGTTACTCTGTGTTGAACATAGAGTTTTGCTTTCTTTTCCCGTCCCTAAAAGTAAATCCAATCCCTGTCCTTAAACGTTCTCACTTACCTTGTATGCAATGTAAGTTTGGCAGTGATCAGTAAAGTTCGCTTCATTGTATTACGCTGTACAGTGATGATGATGATATTGATGTCTGCAGTGACTCCTCACGGAATGAACAAAAGCCGAAAGTCGCACGTCAGACGCAAAAAAGACAGCGATGAATCATAATGGGTGAACTGTATGACAGTATTTAACCGTAAGGAGCTGATGTAAAAGGGTAAAGTGACGAACACCCCCTGCAAAATCGCGAAGTTAGTTCAAATTGGCAACGCCAGGACCAAAATCAAAAACCTGCACTGCGTTTTTGGCCTTAAATTCCACTAACACGGATTGCAAGTCACAGCTAGCATCAGAATATTTCGTTCACATAACACATAACACACATAACAAATTTCCAAAATATCCATTACAGACTTGAGGTCAGTTCTTTCCAGTTCTGCCAGTAAGGCACTAGTAATTATTGGACCCAGTTGTAATCCAATAGCCACGCCATCTCGTTTTCGGTACAAAGTTCCATGATATAGAACCTGAACGATAATTGTGCAACGAAGCGGGAACTCTCACAAACCGTGGGATAATGAACCAATATTAGGGTCATTTTTATATAATTCAGTAAGTAGTCCATGGTTCTCCCAATGGCATGTTTGCAACCAAAGACTAAACATATAGGAAAACATTGTCTCGTCCTTTGCATTGGCATCACATTATTATGAGATCGTTCAGAGCTTCCAGGTTCTGTACAACCTACGGAGTGTAGATCCGTTGGGTCTTATTTGCTCATAGACATGGTTCGTAATAAACGCAATAAAAACACTATATGGTTTTCGAAACTACATGTTTGTTCAGTACTGTAAGCTTCTATTGACAATAGTACACAGTAGCTCTATATGCTGGTTAACAACCCGCAAACTGGATAGCCTCCATCCAGTAGATCATCACCATCGACAAAAATGAGCAAGTGGCCAATTTACGGATAATATAATAGAAACCACAATGATTAAAACCAGCAGAAATTCACGTGTTCCCCATTCAATTAGCCATCTATTTTCTGTGGATTCCAAGTCCGAGTCGAAGTGCACCCTTGAGTGAATATATCATATCCCCAAAGAAGTCGGTGAAACGAGATGTTTTTCCTTTTACTTCTTTTTTTACTCCACATAAACCCAATGGCTTTCTTCCGATCATCATTGACATGCGAACTCGGGATGTGGCATTTGTTACATAAAGCATATGTTAATTTGAAAGGAATTATTCCCATGATTTAAAGGTTTACTATCACATATAATCTTAAACACTTCTGAGTTCTGACCATGCGTCAAACAACTCATGGTACAAGAATCCCAATGACAAAAGTCAATCTAGGGTTCGTTGTTAGGCGCGTTACCATCAATTTGAACGTTTCAAAGCTGGTGATTTTCTCAGGGTTCCGTGATGAATCCCTCGGTTTCCCAAGCCGAACCGCTGACTTAATTTGACTTGAGGCAGTGAAAGGTGATCAAAATATCTTTGTACGCGCAATTTGCCATCTCAGAGTAGAATCCGTCGCAAACGTCACGTCGTAAGGACGCTATTTATTATGGAATGAATGACGGTCGTGCTGGTTATGATCGCAGAGAAATTGGCTGTTGGAGAGATATCGGTGTCACGTCACCAGTTGGCGGAATCGAATTTCATGCTGAATCACGAGGTTGGCAATAAGAGGATGAAGTTACATCCATTAAGAGACTTTAATACTTCAGAGTGAAGTATATTTAAACTGTGTCCGATTGGGGAAGGTAGGATGATGAAGAGTTGTTTATCATTAAGAAAAGGTGATTCTGTTGGGTGTTTGAGCGATAAAAACACGAAGGGTGCCGAAGTGGAGCATCGGAGCGAAAAGTTTAAAGAATAAAAAATAGTAGCAAACTTGAGGGAGGAACCATGATGCGCCATTAGACACCACCCTCCCAAGTTATTATCCGAGTTTACTGCTTTTAATACAACAAACACGGTCTTGGNTCCCCCTAATTTTGATGAACAATAATTACCTTTGATTTTTAAAATTAGTGGATTAATTAATTAATTGTGTCGCCTAGCTTGGCTACGAAACGTCTGCGAACAACACTTCCAGCTTGAAGAACTCATCAATAAAAACACTTCCTTTTCGAAAAGATTAAGAGATAGGCAAAGATTCCCTTAATATTCTATAAAATGCATGAGGCCCTGTGGCAAGATCGCGGTCGTATGGTCTACTCGACAGCACACCCATGATTTTCATCACCCATCCATTCCATCTGTTTATCTTCTAACTAGATCATTTCAGTGTTTTTCATCTGAGGTACCTGCAAAGTTTATCACTTTGTTCACCAATTGTTCCCATCTTGACAGTACTGTACAAGCGTATTTGAGATAACTTACTCCTCGAACCAGTACCTTATCTAACACCAGGAAGGCCGGTGGCGATTCTTGTGCTTGATCTACCATTTTGTTCTCAAAATCTATCTATCTCATCTATTCTTTATTTACCCTGGGCTCAGTCCGACAACCAATCGAAACCATACATACGTATTTTTTGTGAAACATTTGCGTGTTGAGCAGCAGATAGTGCGAACCCCATAGTCACACACATATGCTTCTTCGTCGGGAATGGAACAACCCGTTCCTCTGGTTGACAGAACATTTTCTGGTCCACAGCTCACAATCAGTCAAATGCATTTTTTAAACCGTATCTTGTCTGAAAATATGAACGCTAGCAGGATTTATCAAAATCAAACATATAAGCTGTTATGTGTTCCGAGATAGTCACACAGGGCGCATGGATACCCTCGGGTTATTCAGAGCTGAATGCTATCAGGCACGTCCCCGGGTTGTGGATAAGGGGATACCTTCACCGAAGAAAAGTAGCTGTGAATAAGTTGTGGCATACCGCAACAAATAAACAGTCGCGAACAAACAGCGGCGGTACTACCATGATGTGGTGGATTTCAGGCTGATCACCTGGCGCCTGTATAAAAGCCGCATAAGCCCAATGACGGTGTCGTGACAAAGCCCGATATTACTGGCCTTTTAAAACTAAGGTCATTGACCCCTCTCACTTACGAGGCGAGGGATTACTTCGTGCTGCCTCGCAGTTCGCACTTCATTGTGCAAGGGCTGGAGGTGCACCCTCAAAATAAAAAAACACCGAGTAACGCTGGGGACTGCTCTCCTGCCAAACTCCCGAGGAACTTCATGTTCATGATCATGTCTCGAGTCGGCTTATTCTTTCCAAGGAGCCAGCCGCGTAAAGTTAAAAAAGCGCATGATGAGAACACAATGCAACAAAGAAACTCGTTTTTTTAGTCCATCTTAATCATGGTACTATCACACAATATAAATGACCAATTTGAGATCTCCACTTTGAATGAGATGGCCCGAATTCGTCTTGGGTCACTTATCATTTATTCGGATATTTCATGACCAGGATAGGTTGTGTTTGCACAAATTGTTTCGAACACCGCATGGGAGNAAAGACGGATGTTGGTTGTGTCCACTGTTTCTATAGACCGTCCCGTCTGTTCAGGAGTCGGGACACTTCCGTCACATCGCGGCGTGGTTAGTGCCGACAAGGTGTGACACAAAGCACTTGTGATTGACCTAATTAATTCACTTCTCAACCACGTAGATACGCTCGGACAGACTGCTAGTCGCGCAACCAACATACCTTGCTCCACAGGAACAAACGAAAGAGTACATACAGAAGGAGACTTCCAAGCGTCCAAACATAACTACCGGCTATGGACGAATTCCACCAAGCGCTCTGGATGAAGGTACTCAGCACATTTGGAGGTTCATCAACTAACGTGTCCTCCGTATAGGTTCTTCTAGCTCTGTTGACCAAACGGAGTATGGGGCTCTTCTTTATTCTGAATGGAACAAAGCTACGGAAGTGAATGTACCGCCCGTTGTATATAGCCTTCCTGTGTGCTGATCGACCCATCATGACGACGAATTAGACAGGCACCTAGATATGTTAGGTAATTGTTAACCTTATTTGCAATCATGAATTTCAAATTCCTGTGTGCAGCGTTGAAAGGGTCTAATAGAGCTTATGAGTTACCCGGTCTGGTTGGTGGCATTTACCGGCTTATGTTATGCATTATCAAAAGTGATCGGTTTACGTGCATCATGTCAACCGGAATACGTGTTCAGCTTGTTCCACGTGGTTTCCTTTAGCTTTCAGAACTTATTGAAGTCTATTAATAAAGACAGAGTCATGCAAAGCATATCGTTTGGACATTGTGCTGCCAGAGAATGTTTGCATGCACCCGTGATTCTATGTTATGTTTTATTTAAGACAATAATGACATCAATTTTCCCGCTATTTTATCCTTTAGATCGAAATACTGAACGAACACCTGTTCATCACAGCAAAACCGGTTGTTTATCTCATCAATATGTCCGAAAAGTCTTTCACCAAGAAAAAGAATAAGTGGTAAGCACAATGACTCATAAGACAATTATGTTTCCGTCTATTTGATTGCAGACAAGGGGGTGGGGGTAATTCGGCTAGTGTTGCCCTGGTGACTAATGATCATGATTTCTACCCTTACATTATTACTCCATCCTGTACAGAAGAAGTCTATTCTCCAAATCCCTATGTTGTCGGCTATTCCTCTATGGTCTCCGCCAAGCCGAACATAAAGTACAAAAGTTTTAATTTTTTTGGGTGTTCGCATAAGCTCTATCACTGATTATGAAGTCAAGGATCAGGTGGCTTATATAAAAATTTTGTTAGTGTTTGGAAATCGAAGCGAGAAATCACATTTGGCATTCCGTTTATTCATGATACTTTGGATAAATAAACTCTTCGTTGCTGAAGTTTGCTGATGAAATTGTAATTGGTGTATCCTCGGATGATCTCGTTTTACCGAGTTGCCCGCGTTGTCCAGTCAAACAAACGTATGCAATACTTTTGATCACCGTGAACATTACTGTATCTTCGTACTGTTTCGGGGGGTATTCGTCTTTTCATTGTTGCATTCATCATTCGGTGCTACCCGTAGTTTGTCACCACCCTGTTATGCCGGTCCGATCGATCTTATGTCGTAGGCTAGTGTACCGAAGCGTGTGCCACACGTGATATGCCTCTAACCGGTTCACATTATCAATCGATGTTTATTCTAAATTAAGCTGCTCTATAACCACTAATTCCCTAGTGCTTCTACCACTGCTCCTGTGTTTTACATGCCAAGTATCGTTTGTAACTGTTTTCTTTTGCTATTCTCCTAATAATTGTTTGATTATATTCGTAGTCTATTAGTGCAGACTGAATATACTCTTGGTATCAATGTGATGGGTTCCCTAATCGTTATAGTGATCGTTAACTTCTCGTCTACTTCTTCGTTTGTTTGTCCGTTTCATACCGCTGGCTGAATGACATACTTGTGGTTTTCTTCATCATTCGGTGAAATTTTGTGAAGCGAGCTTCGTTGATCGCAATTTGTGCGAAGTAAAGTGATTATGAAGTGGGTCCACTGAGAGTAGGTAACGAAAATTGATCTGATAGACGGAACACTGATTACACTGTCTGTCTGTGCACATGCCTTGCTTCGATCATCAATGAGAACAAGAACTCCACCACTTGTTTTCTGCCCGGTCATTCACTGTTTCCAACCCGCCAGTTAGGTGGTCTGTGCGATCACACCCCGGAATTCCAGAATGACCTATCCTGTTCAATCCCTTCGTGATGTTAACGTTAGGAACGTTCAATTGTTGGACTTATGGTGAATAACCATATATCGAGACGTGTAAAGCGCACTTTTCAGATTAACAGGTTCTGTGATTCCTTTCGGTCTGTTCGTTTTATCTTCGAAATGAACAGTTATGCTGCAAGATTGAGTGCTAACTAATATCACTCCGAAACTAGAGGGTCGGGAATTATTTGCAGTCCATCGCTTGCGTGACCAATGAATGTAGTGCCTCATAGGCAATATTCTCACGCATTTCCACGACTCAAAGCAACGTGATAGGCAGCTTTGCTGTCGTCCGGTTCAATACCACGCCTAACCTATCCGGGTCTTATGTGATTCACCACTCCAAGTCCGAGGGCTTAGGTTACCGGCCTCCATCACTGAACAGCAGGTCCTCGTGACTATGGGGTTTACCCCGTCTGCTGTTTATCACACAGAAGTGTGTAATAGAAAAAGCGTACGCCAAACTGAGATAGCTTTCACGGAGGCGTTACGTTTCACTGAAGGTGAGAGGTCGCGTATATGGTGCCATCGTTCGGTCAGCTGTGCTTTACGGCTGTGATATCTTGAATCTGCGAGTAGAGAACATCTACAGGGTGGAGGTTTTCAATAGCCAAGTGTTACGTAATTCAGTGCAGATGGGATGGAGTGAACGGGTTATTGACCTAGAGACAAGCGGTCGTGTATTTCGAAATCTGATCATGAAACATTTGTTATCATATCGAATTCAGATTAGTAGGCTTCGTTGGTTTTAATACGTTTTTGCGCATGACCAGCTGTTATCTGCCACACTGCACCTTATTAGCTATTTCCGCCCGGATTGAAAGAAGTTATGTGGCGGTCTAAGTGCATAGGGCGATTTGGTGTTTCTCGTCTTCCAGGTTGAGATCCCAAAGACTAAATATTTCGTTGTTTGTAGACACTGAACTATATGGCAGCGAACGAACAGCAGTGGCATTCGTGTTTTCATTTGTTATCAAGCCAAAATGCATATATATATATATATATATATGTGCATAGTTAGATTGTGTGCCCCATCACGACGAGACTGCACCTTGACGTGGTTTGATGTCTTGTGTGCCTCCATGACTCTGTGAACTACTAGATTGGGTGCCGTGTATGTCGAACTGAGGTTTACTTTTTTCCCCTCCCCTAAACACAGTTTCATTCCCTGTCTGCCTTGCATATCCCCCATAATTTTGTTTGCCTTGTGAGGTTAGCGGAGATCAGTGAAATTCACATCTATATCTGTCGCCGCACGGTAGTGTTGATGCATGGTGAAAACAGTTCCAACTGAATAACATCCCCAACACCCGTGAAGTTTATCCACGTTTCTGCTGATATTATCTTACCATAAGGCGCAAAATGTGCCTCTGTTTGTTATATCTTTTCAGGCTACCAAAAATTAAAGAATGGGTAGATGCGCACGATCCCGGTGCCACCATCATCCCCCTCTCGGTGGAGATGGAACTTAAGTTGAGCGAAATGTCCCCCGAAGAGGCCAGCGAGTTCACCAAAGAACATAACACATCGAGTGTTTTACCAAAGATTATTCGCGCTGGTTACCAAGCTTTGCAGTTGCAGTATTTCTTCACCTGTGGTAAGGATGAAGTGAAGGCTTGGACGATTCAAGTAAGTTCTATTTTATTCCCCCCTGAGATGAAATTGGCCTAGTTGATCCAGGTTTTCCCTCCAGTCATCTTAATTTTCATCTTTATCAGTTGGAATTCTTATCGCCGGACACCTTGTTTTTTTATCACTGCCCTGGCTATTTGCGTTTTCTAGGAGTGTGTTTTCTTCAAGTCAACGACTGTGTGCAACACCCGTTTAAGTTAGAGTGCATTCACAGCACATTAAACGTACTAGGCTCATATTTTTCAAACTGTTCGGGGCTGTTAAATATTTCCTTGTTACAGATCTATCGTTGCTGGTGGGTATCACCACTTACCATTATTAGGAATTTACGATGTATGCGCTTCGAATTGTTGTGCGAGATCAACAGGGTGGGATATATCTACAAGGTCGCATCCGAATCTATTTCAAAAACCATTGATCGAACAGTGGTCATTAACAGCCTGGTTCGCATTGATACCACCTCGTATAGTATGTTCCCGTAGCACAGGCAAATGGCTTTCCTGTTTCACATTTCTCCCCATGAGAACACTCCCTAAACAACTTATCTGGGAATGTAGTCTACCAGAGAGCATTACATGATCCTTTAGATTGCGTTTTACCCTCCCCTGAAATGTCTATCAAATTTTGTTTTTCCTGATCTACCGCCACTACTGAGCAGAAAGGCACAAAGGCTCCTCAAGCTGCCGGTCGAATTCACACGGATATGGAGCGAGGCTTTATTATGGCGGAAGTGATGAGCTACGATGACTTCAAGGCCGAGGGTTCCGAAGCGGCGGTTAAAGTAAGTGATTCCGTTACCCTCTTCGGTGTAGTTTTCCTGTGTATGGGGTGATAATCTCCAGCTGGAGAGTGCTTTTGAGTTCCGTGGAGCATTAAATTAGTGAAATAATATCCCACATTAAGGACTACAGTTACATTGGTTCATTTTTTAATTATGCTACCATTTCACATTCGCACTGTCACGAGCTCTTGGTTATATATAACCCATATCCATCTCGATAAGACTGCACCTTAACGTGGTGTGATGACTTGCGTGCCTCCATGACTCCGTGAGCTACACAGGTTGCTCTTTCACAGCCGCAGATGCAATGGGTATAGGCCAGATAAAGCTCAGTCTCACAAGGCCAGCTGCTTGGATACCTTCTGGCTTCCGTTGACTATCCACACTCATCCCTGGAGAGGCCATTACAGCAAATAAACATAGTGAGCGGCAGTTTACCGGCCAAAAAACCGCTAGATGGACGTTGGAGCGGGGTATCTGGGGCTTCCTCTCGACAGTGGTAGAAGTCTTCGCACTTCATTGAACAGCTACCGCCCGCCCAAGCTGGGCAGCCCCCAATCAATAAGGTCCTACCCCGTCCACGTTCCACTTGTCTCATTGGGTGTATGAGACTAAGCGCCGATCCCAAACAGCGGACCGTCAACCAACGCACCAGCGAACAACACACCGAACCGAAATTCAGAGGCCTTGCGTAACAGGTCTCTAGAAGTTCCCACACTCGTGCTTCGTTCAGGCTCCCGCGTTGAATTTACACCCCACTGCCTTGTGGGTCAGACTTTTGAGTCGAAGGATCCGGTTAGGGTTCCCAAAGATAAACCCCTTCGTCGATGTGGGCTACCGCGAAGTATGTTGTGCTCTAAAGTCTTAGGCACCCATTTGGAAAACCCTCTTTCCCATCTGTCTAGTTCTTCCTCTCAATCCCAAATAATTGTATTGTATTGTATTGTATTGTGTATAACTTTTGCAAGCACTGGAGCTCACATTTC